AGAGATATGAGGTGAACCAGGCAAGGGGAGTGTGACTAATGCCAATGGATGCTAATCTGCTCAGGAGGATATGAGAAATTGTGTGAAATGCCGCACTAAGATCGAGAAGGATGAGAATGGTTAAAAGACCAGAATCAGCTGCCAACAGAAGGTCATTAGTAATCCTTAACAAAGCAGTTTCTGTACTATGATTGGGGCGGAAACCAGACTGAAATTGTTTGTAGAGATTATGGTCATTGAGGTATGAGTGAAGCTGGGAGGCAACAACTTTCTTAAGGATTTTCAAAATAAAGGGGAGGTTTGATATAGGGCGGAGATTTTCAAAATTATTGGGATCTGCACCAGCCTTTTTGAGAATTGGAATGACAGAAGCAATTTTTAGGGGTGGAGGATAAATTCCAGTGTTAAGGCAAGAGTGGATAATACTAGTTATGAGAGGAGCCAATTAGGGAAGACAAGCTTTAACTAACACAGAGGGAAGAGGGTCGAGCTGACAAGTGGATGATTTAGATTTTTTAATAAGATTTGATACAACAGCTATGGAATAAAACTTGAAAATGACTGAGAGGAAGACAGCGAGGAAAACAGAAAGTCTACTTCACAGTTAGAAGCTCCTACAAAGTTAAGTTGTTGGTGAATATCAGTGATTTTATGAGTGAAAAAAGATAGAAGAGAGTTACAAAAGTCAGCAGAGTCCATATGAGAGGGGAATGAGTCTGGAGGTTTTGTAATTTCTTTGTGTATGGTAAGTCCAGTTTTCTTAAACAGACGTTCCAGTTGGCGTCCCTTAGCTTTGAGATGGCGCAGGTTAAGAGTAAACCGCGGTGCTGAACAGGAAAATGAGACAGTTCGGTGTTTAAGTGGAGCAAATATGTTAAGAAGGTTATGGAGGTCGACATTATAGTGAGAAACAAGTTCATCTGGGGATGAGGAGCTGTGAATAAATGGAAGGTCATAAATGGCAGATGAAAGACCTGCAGGGTTAATATTACTAATTTTCCTAAATGTGATGTCACGGGGTGTACAGGTTTTGTAGGCTTTTGTATTTACAGTAAAAGAAATAAACTTATGATCAGATTGGGGAAACAAATGGGCTTTACAGTGAGTGGGGGTAACGCCAGAACAGCAGACCAAATCCAAGATATGACCTTTAGAATGAGTAGAAAATTTTATGTATTGTAGAAGCTCCAAACTTTCCAGACAAGAAATAAAATCTCCGGAAAGAGGGATTTTATCATTGTCCATGTGGATATTGAAGTCACCAAAAATTATCAAATTTGGGGAAAGTACCGAGAAATGAGTAAGAAGAGCAGCAAAGTCATTAAAAAAAATCCTTATTTGGCTTAGGTGGCCGGTACACAGTACATATAATGGTGGGAGTAGATCCAAGGAGCTGTATATATTCAAATGAGTGGAAGGGTGGGGCAGAGACAGGGAGAACTTTCCAGTGCTTGCGGTGAATTATCGCGAGGCTGCCGCCCCTCCTGAAGTTGCGAGGTTGACAGATGTAAACAAACTCAGATGGAGTAGAGCTATTAAGTGAAACAAAATCATTAGCCTGTTGCCATGTTTGAGTCAAGCAAAGAAAATCCAACTTACGTTCCGAGAGGAGATCCTGGACGAGATGGCCCTTACCAGTGAGAGAGCCCACGGATAATGTACCTGCGGCGGGGCTTGATAGCTATGTCTGGATAGAGGTAAAGAGCCACAGGTGGAGAGACAGCCAGGCAAAAGCGGAGTCGCAGAAGTTCCGTAGCAGAGTAATGAAGTAGAGCTGCAACCGGGTGATGATTGATGAAAAAAACAACCCAGGTGTGCACAGACCACACAGACACCCTGTCGATCCACATCTTGATCAGGCCCTTGCTGAATGTAGCCGGTTAGAAAAGACAGAGCAGGCAGCTGTAGTGCGAGCAGTAAAATCTCGCAAATATTGCGATAGCAAGTCAAAACAGGATTACAACTTGGTTCAAGTTGTTGTCAATAACTTTAGAACAAATAAAAATGAGAATAAATCGGTGAGCAGCGGCAGCAAGACGTGCCAGTGCCGGAAGATATTGAGATGCAGCCTGGCATGATGGTGCATTCCCGGAGCATAAACGACAAATTGTTCAGCGGGAATTGAACGATATGCTGAGGCTGGGAGTAATAGAAGAGTTGCACAGTGCTTGGTGTAGCCCCGTAGTTCTTGTGGTGAAGAAAGATGGGTCTATACGGTTCTGTGTGGACTACTGCAAGGTGAATGAGGTGTCATGGTTTGATGCGTACCCAATGCCCCGGGTCAATGAACTCCTGGACGGTTAGGCACTGCTCGTTTTTTCATGACGCTGGATTTGACAAAGGGCTACTGGCAGACTCCCTTGTCTGCGGGGTCTAAGGAAAAAATGGCCGCCTTATGGACCGGGTGCTGGGGCTGCAAGCGGCGTATGCCGCCGCCTATTTAGATGACGTGATCATCTACAGCGACGCCTGGGTGGAGCATGTGCAGCGGATTGCCGCGCTCCTGAAGTCCCTGAGGCAGTCGGGGCTCACGGCCAACCCGAAGAAGTATGCAGTTGGATGGAGGGAGGTACAGTATTTGGGGTACCACTTGGGGGACGGGCAGGTGCGTCCACAGGTGGAGAAGACAGTGGCCATTGCATCCTGCCTGCGCCCCAAGACCAAAAAGGCGGTGAGACGGTTCCTGGGGTTGGCAGGCTACTACCACCGGTTCATCCTGGGGTTTACGGACCTGACTAGCCCCTCAACAAATCTCACCCGAAAAGGTGCCCCAGATCTGGTCCAGTGGATGGAGCAGTGCCAGGCATCGTTTTTGCAGGTAAAGACGGATCCCCACTGTTGTTCATACTTCATACTGTCTCATCAGCCACAAGCTCAGGGTGCGGGAGACCCGCTACAGCACTGTGGAGAAGACGTGCCTGGCAATCCGGTGGGCGGTCGACTCCCTTCGTTACTACCTCCTGGGGCACCCAGTCACTCTCTGTTCAGACCACGCCCCGCTACAGTGGCTTCACCGCATGAAGGATCCCAATGCTGGGATAACCTGCTGGTATCTGCCTGGGGACAGGCCGGGGACGCAGATGGGCGTGGCTGATTTCCTCTGCTGCAGAGGAGGGCTGACACAGTGAGCTCACGGGGCGGCGTGAAGGCGGGAAGGAGCAGGTGTGCAGAACTGTGTTGATGAGAAAACCCATTCTCATGTTTTGCATTGAGAAGGAGCGGGACACACACACACACACACATACATACAATGGGAATGACGGAGTGGCTGCATCCAGGGCAGATGCCAGAAACAGCAGGGGGAAAAGCACAGTTGGAAATAAAGTACTATTGAACGCAGAAGTGTCTGTGCACTGTCAAGCATGGTGGTGGTAGCATCGTGCTCTGCTGTGTTTTGTTGCCAGTGCATAAAGTGGATGGCATAATAAAGGAGGACTACCTCCAAATACTTCAAATTCACCTCAAATCAACAGCTAGAGGCTTGAAACTTTGACACAGCTGGGTGTTCCAACAGGACAATGACTCCAAATGCATCAAAACGGGTTTTGAATGCATAAAGCAGTCTAACATGGAGCATCTGGACTGGCCTCCCCAAAGCCCCGACATCAACCCTATTAAAAACTTTTGGTCTATACTTAAAAGCTGAATCTGAGCCACAACCAATTTAATTGCAGGTAGACTAAGCCTACATTTGAATCATGTTGTTGTATTAATTGTTTGCTTGCTCTCAGGCCATTAAATAGCATCCGTACTACAGCTGAAAGAATAAAAAACTAAAACTGTGTTATGCAAATCTAAACATGAATAGACTGCTTGATTATTATTTCATTAGATTCTCTGTGCCTGAATCTAATGGTTAGATTCAGCTGCCTGAATGACAGCTTTATAAAATAAAGCACGAGTGGATAGTTTCTCCACTATCAGCTCAACAGATTTTACTGTAAGATTTACAGATGAAAGATTTACTTCCATACGTTCGCTCCGTCAGCTGATTTAGGAAACACGCCCATTTAAACTGGTAATAGTCACAGTTTAGTCAGGAGCAAACAGCCTGACTAAACAGCACACTGGCCAACAGAGACGACCATTCAGTGAAAATGACGAATCTGCAGATGCAACATCTGGAACTCGCAGAGTGGAATATTTTAACAAATATAATGAGTTAACCTGAAACAGAGGTGTAGACCAAAAGGTGACTGTTCACTTTTAATCTGCTGTAAATTACTTTTTATTTACAGCTAATATGTGATATATATGGTATGGGGTATGGGGACTGTAACCAGCTTTAGATCCCTTTAATGGTTAATTGCATTGCTCAAGTATAAAACAAGTAGAAAAGTTAGATATTCACATTAATTGAGAGTTGTTTGTGCAGACTTAGTGGAAGGCAGTGTGCAGGAATGTGGGAGTGAACCAGAGCAAGGTTGAAAAACTGGTTTCCCACTTGTGGAAGATGAGCAATCACGGCTCCTACATAAGGCATGGATGGACATTCTCTCATTGCTGGAATGTTGAACTACTTGGTTAGTGAAACCCTGGCTCTTTACTTAGTTGACTTCCCAAGAGTTTCCTTGTGGCTTCTCCCAGTGACCCTTGCCCTCCTTGCATGCAGGTTGAGGTTTCTCCTTGTCGTCGTATCCTGGAGTGTGGTGAACAAGAGAGAGAGTCCCCCTACCCCCATCATATGTGTGTAGTGGTTAAAACTGGACTCACCATTACGGCTTCCCATAACAATGCTTTCAGTCCTGTAAGTCACTGTTTACACAGTTGCTATTCAACTGTGTACTGCTCTCTAGTGGCCTGATGTGTGTATTACACACAGAGTAACATCACAGTAGGGTTTCTCATGCTGTGTGTGGTGTTTTTCAGTCCCAACTCCATCCACTGAGGAAGATCATGTAACAAGGTTAAAAGCTGAAGAGCTGTCAGACTTCTGTTTGGACTTTTCATCCATCAATGTAAGTGTACATCAAAACAAAGACATTATAATTCATTAGTACTTTTCATATTTTAATTTGTCATTTTAACCACATAAAACACTTAAGCAGACACACATTAGAGGATAAAACTGATTAAATTAAGGTGAATCATTTACAGGCAATAAGAACATCTTCCTGCATAGCATTACAGTAATTTAAAGAGAGGCTGATCTAAAATAAAATGCTTAACTGTCATGGTTTTGGTTGTTTTGTGTAGTTTTATTCAGCTGTGAAGGTGCAGTAGATTCCCCAGTGATCACTAGTGTAGCGTCCACAGTCCAGCTTCTCCAGCCCCACCAAGGCCATGTGATCAGGGGCCAGACGTGGGATTCCACGTCTGATGGCCGGGCGGAGGTAGATTCTGTCAAAGCGGCAGCGAGCGACAAAGGGAAACGTTTTGTTGTTGTTGGCAGAGGTGTCCCACGTGTAGCGGCAGTGCTCCTGCTTGCCCAGTCGCTCCCACACATCACAGACAGTTGCAGGCAGGCCCACCTTGGTCACCTGAGACGGGTCCAGAGAAAAGAGTTACTGTGATTTCTTGTTACAAGTTTACTGGATCTATGTGAGTGGAAGGAGCAGCGTCTGACCTCCGCATCCCTCAGGTTTGTGTCTCCCCCAAACACAACGGTGACATCATCAGGTGCATGTTTCAACCTCCGCTTCACCACATGCAGCTGTTTCAGACGCTCTGCAGTATTTTCCCTACAGCTCTCAAAGTGGGATGTCATCAGGCACAGCTTCTGACCGTTGACGATCACCTGAGCTTTGGAAACGAAAATGTTCCTGAGCATCACTTATGGAGACGAAAAAAATATCAGAGATGATTTTGCACACACCTGAGCGACCAGCAGGTTCCTCCTCATCTTAGTGGTGGGATAAGGTACCATCTCGCTCTCCACAAGTTTGACTCGTGACTTTTTCAGCAACATCCCTGTGAAGCAACCGTTCCGACCACCTGATCAACACAAAAGGAAGAGAAAGATGGAGACTTTTAAGCTTTGGTTCCCCTTCAGATCAAATCTTTAGTCAATCTTAGTTCCCTTGGTGATCCCTGTCTTCCCTGTTGTGTCTCTGTGTCTGCATATGTTCCCTGTCTTGTCTAGTTAATATGTCTGTAATCCTGTTCGCATGTTTTTCTCTGTGTGTTTTGTCCTTTTGCCTCTCCAGTCTGTTTTGTGTTTCCATGTCTTTTTATTCCCAGTCTCAGTTTTTAGTTCATGCGCCTTAGTCTGTGTCTCAGTGTTTGTGTTACTTCCTGGATTTTTTGTCTTGTGTGTGTTGTTCAGTCTGTCTCGTTAGTCAGATTTTGTTCACCCTTGTTCCCTGGTGTGTCCTATCTCCTTGATTATCTCATGTGTACTTAAGCCCTTAGAGTTTGTTCAAAAACAGTGAAGGAAGAACACAGATGTTACTAATATTGACTAAAGTCCTTAACAGCTCTCTTCATGTGTTACATGAAGTCAAAGCAAAGCAGCTCAGCTGCATTCAGCCATTAATCACCATTTGATCATTCATACCTGTGCCTTTCCTACCTGTATCTATCTGACATACTGTACCTTCAATCATCAGGTAGTTGACG